CATTCTTCTTCCATCTTCCATCCACTGCACTTCCTTTGATGAGTGAGTAGTTGGAAGAGAGAGCGGACAGACCCAGCCAGCCCTCTGTCTCTGAAGAAGTGCTGTGTGTTGTCTAGGCCTTGGGCCCGTGAGATGCACTGTGGATTCGAGCATGGACAGGAAAGCTGCCTAGCTTCCACAAGAAGCCAGTAGGTTGTAAGCTTGAAAATGCATCGTTGAACACTGTATTTTATAGTTTCCTTCCCATTCTTCCTTCCTTCCAGCTTCCCTCCCTTCCTCATTTGCATCTTACCTTCCTTGTTTATTTAGATTCCTGCTATGTCAGATATTATTTTTGGGACTGGCAGTTAATGCAGAGATCAACAGGACAGAGTGTCTGTTCGGGGAACAAGTCGGTACTGGGAGCCAGACATGCCACTGACAACTGTAGCCATGTGATAAATGCCAATAAAGACCAGATGGGCTTCTGGAGGGAATGGGTGTGTCTTGGAGAGGGTTGGCTGAGCAGGACTGGCTCTTTAGACACAGTGGGAGGACTCTGGAAAAGGAGGACAGTGTGGGCAAAGTCTCGGAAGCTTGCAGCGTGGGAGCCTACACTCTGGAAGAGGCTTCCGTTGCAGGAGTAGGAGAGGTGGGCAGGTCAGGAAGGGCCTTCAGCTGCTGTGGAATCCGGACTTTGTCCTGAAAGGAATGGGGCTGGTGAAAGCCTTGTATCATCTTGTCTTCCTGGATTATAAATTCCTGTAAGCCAGGGTGTGTTATTTATCTGTGTGCTCTGCGTACTATCTGGGCCAGCCCTGGGGTGGGTAGGACACTGAGTAAGTGTTGATGGAGCTCTTACGGCAGTGCGAGTCTCTTAGTCTTGCATGCTTGGTTCAGCCATATTATTAAAAGAGTGAGTCAGAGCAGATGCAGTTTTGGAATGGAGGGGCAAGGACCTTATTACATCTTGGACAGTGCATCTCAGCACTCCCTGTATGAAATTGTTAGCTAACTTAATCTGTGTCGCTCTGCTTGCCCAGAATCCACAGGTGACCTCTGACGACTGCCTCGGCTGTCACTGGTGGTTCAGGGCTCCAGTGCTGTTTACCTGTTGAGTCTCTTTATCTCCAAGCTCTCCCTTCACTTTCCTGGGAAAAGATTCCCTGTCCTGTCTTTGCCTCAGAACTCAGCTTTGAGTGTGTGCTCGCCCCTCCGCAAGAGTGATCATTGATTGTCCTTCTGCTCTTCATCAGACCGTGTCCCTTGAGCCTTGCATAGTGATTGTTATCATATGGTAGATACTTATCAAAAATTGTTTTCGGTTGCATGAGTGAATCTTGAGATAACATTCAGGAATATATTATTGTTTTGTCTTCCGGTGAAGAAATTGAAGTGCAGAGGTTAAGTCGCTTGTCCAAGGCTGCACAGATGATGAAAGCCAGACCGAACAGCCAGGGCTGTCTGCCAGCCAGAGCTCCCCTTGTGCTCACAGATACTCTGTGGATGGTGACACTTTGTACCTGCATCACTGATGGGATTCTACTGCCTGTGGTCAGCTCACAGAATCCCAATGCGGTGGTTAAGAACGTGGGCTGTGTTCTGTATAGACTTGAATTCTTTCTCCACCATTTCCTAACTTTGGTACCTTGAACAAGCTACTTAATGTATGACTTTTCTGGAAAATGGGATAATATTACCCAAGTTATAGGACTGTTATGAAGATGGATATAAATGAATCTATATGAAACTCTACTGTCGGTATACAGAAGATGCGCCCTCTCGCGTGCCTTCCTTTCCCCTTCCTCCTCTTCTCCTTCCTTCCTTTTGCTGGCGTTTGAATCCAGAGCCTCATATCTGCTAGACAAACCCTCTACCACTGAGCAGCACTGCCAGCTCCACATTTCTTCCCATTTTACTGCTGTCATCCACAGTTGTATCCAGAGATCCTATAGTCATTTTCAGTCTTTTTCACAAGTAATTTTTCTTTTCCTGAAGCCATCTGCCCCTAAGTCCTAGTTGATCTGTGGTCTCTCAATTTAAAATTGGTTATTTTTGTCTCCAGAAGTTATCTGCATCTAACAGCAAGATCCAGTGCTATTCATACCCTTTGCTTTGAGTTTGTAGATTTTAGGCTTCACACTTGTTTTCACACTTGTGCTCAGTTAGCAGACTGTTGTTGTATAGTAAAGGATGTACTATTAATAGTGCTGCTCCATCTCTCACAAATCAGACACCTTTTCCCCAAGCTACACGACACATTCTTGAGCCGTTTGATTAATTGACGTGATTGTTGGAAAGTGATTTATGTCACCTTTTTCCCCCCATTTCTCAATATATGACACGACATGTGACTTATAGGAAATTTAAAAAGGAAGAAAGGCAGGAAAATACTTCACATGTACAATAGCTGCATGCCAAAATTCTAACATTTTAAGTGTGTTCCCTCATAATAGAATTTTCTGTAAAGGTCTTTCATTCCTTCCCCAGTTGTTTATTGTTGAAATCCTTACTAGCTAAGTGATTTTTTTGGCAGGGAAAAGGGGCAGGGGATTGTGGCTGAGATGTAATTGTGTGAATATATGTGTATGTTAATGGCTCTTAAAAGAAAATAGCAACTGATTTGTAGTCAGATGATGAGAGAAATAACAATGCCATTGCCACCTGTGCCAGGCATTACTACATATTTCGCTGATGGTGCCAATCCTTACTGGAAAATGGGAAGTCCGTTGTGGAGTAAGAGAGTTAATGAGGCTCAGAACTCCGCTGGGGAAGCTGGCATGTGGTAGACTCTGGAGATGTAGGTGTTAATGAGGTAGGGGATAAGGGGACAACTAGAAGCAAACCTGACGAAGTAAGTGGGCCCACTGGGGAATGGCTAATTAAGTTTTCAGGTAATGTAGAACTAATGAAGTTTTTGCAAATGGGAGCTCAAAATAGCATAGATGCTCTATTGTCAAGACGTGGCTTTAAAATACAGTCTCTGGGCAAGCAGCGTTAACAATTCCTTCAGAACGTACTAGAGAGAGCCTTCTTCCCACCTGGTCAGTGCTGAGCACTGGGCACGTGAAGCCTTCCTGGTGTTCCGCTGCTGGCTCAAGTTTGAGAGCCACTGCATCAGGAAAATTTAAGCTGTGCTGTGTAGGAAAGACTGGAGCAACACAGAGGTCTCAGGAGAGGCCAGAGCCAAGGGAGAGGGGGTAGGACATAAATAAATGCTACGGAAGGAAAATCAAGAGATTTGTCAGGAAGGTTTCCCTAATAGAACCTGAGCGCTGAGTAGCAGTCAGCGCCTAAGGTGTGAGCCAGTACTGCGTGTCCATGTGTGTCCGCAGGAGAGCACAAGGGCAGAAGCTCACAGAAACCTTCAGAGAGAAGCCTACTCCTTGGGGACCGGACCCTTTCGCACCTTAATTTACAGATTTAGTGTCTCACCCACATTCGCCAGTCTGCGGCCCTTAACTAAATAACTTTCTCAGGGAGAGTAAATATGTACCGGAGGCTCAGTACCAGCAGTAGCATTGACAGTAGATTGAGCTATTAAGTGATTGCTTCGCTGTAAGCACATCATAATCATTATCTTATTTTGTCATTCATCAGTTATGAATGTCTAAGAGTACCTTCCTTTAGGGTAGAATCTAAGCTGTCTATCGCTATAAAATTAATGCTTCTAAACACTGATCTGAGAAACTGAGTCTCGACTCTGGACTCTGACAGCTCTGGGCTTAAAACCTGGCCTTCTAACTTGACAGGCACATAATCCTGAGCAAGTGATTCATTCAGTCTTAGCCTAAGTTTCCCCAGCTCAATTGTAATACACTGAGGATATAATCATGAGTGGGCCTCCTAGGGTCAGTGTGAGAAATAAGTGGGAAAATCCCTGCATGCGAAATATTAGGAAATGTAAGTTGGGGAAGTGACAGTGTCACATGCTTACTTACAGTGTCACTGACTCATCTCATTCAAAGAGACTCTGTAGTTTGGCTCTTAAGCGCTCCGCCTACTTGTCATGCCCTTCCGCTCAGACCTGGTGATCCTCTGCATAACTCAGTGCTTTAGCTGAGCTGGCCATGGTGACCTCACGTACCAGGTCTCTGACTATAGGCTGGTCTTTGTTTCTCTTGCTTTGTTAGTCAGCTTATTGTCACTGTAACAAAATGCTAAAAGTGATTAACTTAGAAATAGAAAAGGGTTATTTTGGGGGCTGGGGAGATGGCACAGTAGAATAAGCACTTGCCTGACAAGTGCAAGGGCCTGAGTTCAATCCCCGGTTCCGCAAAAAAAAAAAAAGAAAGAAAAGAAAAGAACAGGGTTATTTTGGCTCAGTTTTAGAGATACCAGTTTATGGTCTGTTGGCACCATCTTAGAATCTGTGGCAAGACAGCATCATGGCAGGAATGTGTGGCAGAGTGAAGTCACTTACTATATGGCCAGGAAGCAGAAAGGGGCCAAGCCTAACAGTTCCTTGGGGCCATGCCATAGGTGGCCTAACAATCCCTCCTGGGCCCCACCTCCCAGAGGTTACATTGTCCCTCTGATAGTGCCGCTTTGGGGAGCAGGCCTCTAGCACAGGGACCTCTGGGGTCATTCACCACCCAAACTACAGCAGTTGCTCCCCTTCTGCTGTGTGCAGGCCCTGCAGGGCCCACCTGAGTGTTTGTGAAGCCGTGGCCAGGCAGCTTTCGCCTTCACCATGGTTGATCCTGTAGCTGTGCGTCTCGGCAGCCCCCACACAGCAGTGGCTTGGGGGGCTTCTACCCCAGCCGGCCCTTGCACCCGCATCTGCAGTACTGGCGGGCCATGCTGTGTTGCATGCCTGCCCCCCCCCCCCGACGTGTTGTCTTAATGGCAGTCACACATACTTCACAGCTTCAGGCTTTTCTGGGTTCATTTAAATATATGTTGGGGTTTTTTTTTTTGTTTTGTTTTGTTTTTTTCTTCTCTTCCTGATGATACTGATAGCATCCTCTATAAGAACAACATTTAATCTATGAAATACTAATTATTTTCTTTCTTTTCAGGATGAACTTGACCTTACAGACAAACACAGGGAAGCCATGTTTGCACTTCCAGCTGAGAAAAAGTGGCAGATATACTGTAGCAAAAAAAAGGTATGCTATCTTTATGAATATTACTAACTGCAAAATTAGGGTCTTTGCATCCATTAGTTCTCCCTGTTTACCACTGGAACTCAGCTCTGTATCCTGTATAAACCAAATTGAAAAATGTAAAGCATTACATGGTAGCCTTGGTATTATAGGTGTCAAAGCGTTGGTCCCTTGGATCTTGTTTCTGTGGGCTCCCTGGCTCCTGTAACTATTATTTGGCTTGCAGGAGACAGAAGTGTCCATTTGGCACTCTGTGACCGCCTTCTAGCATCTTTACATTTGGAGATCTCAGAGGTGTGGCCTTGTCCTCATGGCCCAAAGTGGTTCTCCAGCCATTTCACAATACACACGAAGGATGGAGAAAAGGGAAAGTGGGCACAACCCCCGACACACCTCTCAGGAGTTACATACTTGTATAGCCATGGCCAGCCACCTGCTTTCGTCATGCCATTAGGGGTGTACTACACCCCCTTGCAAGAAGCAGGGTCTGTATTCTGGGTGATCACTTCAAAGCTGAGATTCATTTTCCTTGGGGGATGGAGAATGGGCGTGGGGCTTCAAAGGTACAGAAGCTCTAACTCCCTCGCATCTGTGTCACACAGCATCACTTTGTGCGCCGCACCTCTAGAAAGAAAGCTCACCCTGTCATCCCTTAACCTAGTTGCAGATCCTCACAGCTAGCTGTTGGGGGGCTAATCATGTTTATAGTCACCCTTTGCCACTTTTCCCTGTTTCCCAGAGAAACGTGAAAGTAAATAGGTACACAGGAAGGGCAGACTGGAAAGAAGTGCCACCTTTCCCTGACAGACAACAGACACTCAGGTTTGTTAGTCACTGTGGGCCTGGAGAAATAGCAACAAATAATTACCCAGTATGTTGGTTTTTTTGTTTTGTTTTTATTTATTTGTTTTTATGAGCAGAATATAGTTATTGAGGGAAAGAAAGCTCCTGTCCAATAGAGAGACAGGAAGGGGGCCCGAGTGGTTGTCCCAGGAAGCTGTCTCTTCCAGTGACTTTTAAAGAGGAAAGCCATGTGGTGAGGCCTTACCCAGTATGTTTTCAAGCCCTCTGTGTCAGGTCGATGGAACCTGCTCTGCAGTGTGTACTTCGGCACCCCTGCGTGCCCACCTCGCTGGCTCCCAGTGCCTCTGCCCTCCATGGGCCGTGCCTGTCACCAGGAGCACTTTCCCTTGCTCAGTGCAGGCACTCTGAGCCTGCACACAATCTCTCTGCCAGTTCCTGGGCCTCTGGCTCTGAGGCAGTGTCAGGCTCGCCTTTGCAATTCTAGCATCTGCCATTTAGAAACGATTTTGAAATGAATAAATGCTGACTGGACTGCTAAATTGTGAACAGTGTTATGCTGAATACTGTCTGGAGAAACTTAAAGCATGTTTAATTTTCCATCTGAGCAGTGGTAATTGGTGAGTGTACATCAGATTTGGCTCCAATAGCCTCCACTAAAATATGTATCTAGCTGTAATCTCTCAATATGATCACTGAGCTGTTCTTAGATCAAACAGAAATCTTAAGGGTCTTTATCCATTGGCCAGCAGTGAAATGTCTTTGTCCATTGAGCACTCATCCTTACCTTCTCTGCTTTCTATCTCTCCCTGGATATGTCTCACCAAACGGAAGAAACATTCTGCTTGAACAGATTGTCATGGCCCAAGGAAAATATATAATACACTGGGAAGGAATTTTAAAATTAAAATACAATGTATTTGTTCAGTCCTGAACTAATGGTACTGCCTGGTCTTTGGGAGCAAAGAATCTTCCAGTAGGACTGAGGGGAAAAAAAATCCCCCCAGTGCCTCTGTATATTTTCCCTTGAAAATTAGTAAATAATATAAAGTAGAAACGGAGAACATGCACCAGAGGACAGGAAGTGGCATGAAAATGGGAGCAGCTTACTAGGGGAAAAGTTTTCTTCTTTCCCAGACTTTATTACACCCTTGACAGCAATTTGAAAGTTAATCATGGAAACTACTGCCCCTCACACTAGAGAAGGCAGACCCTGGAGAAGAGTAATGATCAGGCTTGCAGCTGTTGCTCATTTTTCAAGTTCCAGGCCAATCAGATCCCTTTGCAAGCCTGGTTTCAAACATACATAATGGAGTTGGCTTTTTGTAGAAGAGATATGGATGTGTCCAGTGGCCTCAGGATGCCATTCTTCGACGGAAGATCCCCTCTTGCCAGTAGGCCAGATTGCACAGATGTTGGGGAAGGTATTTCTGCTAGCCGCATTCCAGCAGCTTAGATTCCTTACATGACTTAGCATTGGCAAGGCAGAATGGGAAGACGGGTTTAGCTCTGGGGAATTCTGTGGGCCTCAGCATCCTTCTCACTTTAAAATGAATGATAGCATTTTTGACTCAGGATTTTCTTGATTGGGACTTCACACAGTGTTTTTTGTTTGTTTATTTTTGGTTTTTTAATTAATTTTATTGAGAAACATATAGCAATGAGACAGTTTCAAAACCAGCTAGTAGGACAGTTTCAATAATTAGTATATTGTATATTGTTGTCTTCGTAGTGTTATTCATAGTACAAGATGTAGACATGATATTCTGTCCAAGCACTGTTAGTACAAATCTTCCTTCTCTTTGAATGAAGAGAAAGTAGCTGTATATCTATCCTAACTATTTTGTATATACAGATACAAACTGGTCCTTCATTTACATCCCCTTTTTTTGTTTAGTTTTGTCAGAGATGGGTATTCCAACCAAAATGCCTGTCACCTGAGGAATGGATGAAAAAGATGTGGTATTTTTCACACAGTGTTAAAACTATCCACATCTGTGGTCTGCAGCTGACCTCATGGGGTGCTGAAGTAAATTAAATGCATAAGAAACATGAAAGATAGAGAGGCTAGCCAGGAAAGAGTGTGATGTTCACCTCAGCAGATAAAGTGGTGTCCTGAGAGACAGGTTCTCCTTTCTCTGGGCAGAGCAGCATGGTGGTTGTCCTTGATACCATCAGATTATGTTCCTCAGAATATCACTTGTGTAGCTTTCTCCAATTAGGCTTACTACCAACAAGCCAAACCACATCCATTTCTCAGGCTGGGGGAACTACACCCAGAGCTCCTTCCAATTTTCCATCTTTCAAGATTAGAACCTAGGACATTGTGGACATTCTCCCACATAGTGAAGCCATAGAGTAAGGGTCCTTTGAGGCCAACAGAAACAGGCCTTGGGAGTTGGTGAAAGCAGGCTCTCTGTAAAAGTGAGCAGAAGCTGTGGAAGCAAACAAGATGGGCGCCTGGGTGTGGGGCCAAGCTTTTTCTCAGCCAGCTGCCTCTTTCCCACCCGACAGACACTTGGGACCCAGCAGCCGCTATCAGCTTATCAACTGTGTGTTCATTTATAAAACTTCTGCATCTAAGTCTCTGGTTGCAAACTCAATCCCAGAGCCAAAATTAAAGCAGCAAATGTACTTCTGGGCTAAAATTATCAGGAAAATTAATTGGAATTTTGCCTAATAGAGAAATCTGGGAAGAGGCGGAGAGGGACATCGAATTTTAAACTCTAAGGAAACGTCCATAAAGGTCCTGTTGGAGGTATTTTTAAATAGGAAATGTTTGTGGTTCTTATCTATAAAGGTAATTCCCTTTTTAGTTCCAATCACAACATAGTCTTTTGTTTAAATGAGGTTTTCCCCAGTCTCTAGCCAGAAACTGCATCTGTTAACAATCTTTTGGATTTTAAACTAAAGTTTTTTAAACAATGAACCATCTGACCACAAAAGGCATCTGGCCATACTGTATTTACTTATTGTTAACATGATTTTTAAATCCTGGGAAAAGTAAGGAGTTGTCTTCAGAGGGGTGCCGATAAAGTGTGTGTGTGCTACACGGTACCAACAGCAAGCTTATCAGCACAGGAAGACACTTGCTTTAATTGCTGTTCTTCCCAGGAGCCAGCGTGTTAGTTCTGTCCCTTAGTCAGTCCCTCTAAATATCCAGGAGATTATTTTACCCTTTGTTGGGCTTTAGAGTTTGCAGAAGAAGCGAGTGGGCTTATAGATGTTGTTAGCTGCAGTAGTGACAACAGATGTTTGAGAGAAGATCAGGATTTGGTGACTGCCTCATTTTTCCTCTTTTATTTTTGACCTTGAAAGCCAATGCTTAAGAAAATAAGATTACTTTTTCATTTTATTTTCTGTATGTTTTGAAAGCTACTTTGTAGAAAGTGAATTTCCACTCTCCTGATGAGTATGTATTTGATTCTAGCTAAAGTAAATCACTCAAGAATCTTGGCTCTGATTCACCTGTTGCGTTTTCTGCAGATTGCTGATGTGGTGCTGGTCCTCATACCTCTTGCAGGAATCTAGGGAAAGTGGCTGAGAACTAAGCTAGTTGTTTCTATTGATTCCTCTTATTTGGCTTGTACATCCTAATTGGATCAATTCCACACTGCTCCCCACTAAAAGGACTGTTCTCCCCCCGCCCCCTGCCACATGCCCACAGAGATGAAAGTTGCATCATCTGTGGGCATCAGGCCATGGTTCTTTTAGTTCCTGGAGCATGGGACCCTCCTGTGTTTGGAGTGTAGGGAGCCAGTACATTGATCAAATTCAACTTAAAGAACATATGCTAAGGCAGTGCAATTAAAAGCCAGGGACCTCTGATTTTCTCCATAATTGTCAACATACCAGCTAGAAAATAAAGAGGTGATGGAGACGTTAATCCTCTATTTCCAGTATCCCACTGAGAAGCTTCTGTGGTTGCTCTAGGGGAAAGCACAGGCTACCATTTGGCCTGCATATTTTAGAGTGAACATAAATTAGGTATCTTTTTTTTTTTTTTTTTTTTTTTTTTTTTTCTGTGTTTGCTTAAACACGTGTGGAGTGAGCATTGGTTTGACAGGTGTCTACTCTGCTAGATAGCAAGAAACTTTTTGTCAGCGATGGGATCAAATCCAAGGTCTCATGCATGCTAGGCAAGTGCACCACCACTGAGCTACACCACCACCCTGTATCTTAACTTCTTTGGAACTACTTGA